ATTGTAAGTTGCAAAAATGTCTTTACTAACTTTCTGGGCCAGCAGATGAAATTACATAGCAGCATATGAAGGAGTGAGAAAGCTCTCAGTTTTCATTAAAAATATCTTAACTTGTGTTTAGAAGATGAACGAAAGTCTTACGGGGTTGAAACAACATGAGTACTGACAGAAATTTAATTTTTGGGTGAACTAACCCTTTAAGCACAGCTTTGAAACCATGTCTTACCTTGAGTGGTGACCTCTAGTGTTTCCAGGGATGTATTGACACCATCACAGGTTTCGAGCTGCACAATGAATTCTTCTTCGTGCAGAGTGGCTTCGAACTCAATACTCACTTCCGGAGTCGTGTGAAATCGCTGGTGTTTCATCAAGCATTTCATCATTTTGAAAGTATTCCCACATGTCAAACAATTGAAAGGTCTTTCTTTGTGTAAAGCATTGTGAATGTTCAACAGGGCCAAGTCATTGAAAGATACTCCACAGGACTCGCAAATGAAAGGCTCCCGTCTCCCCTCTGCAGCTGTATTTGTGCTTGTGGAAGGTTGGCTTTCACTCAAACCCACATTGCCTGCCAGAATCTTGGTGGGTGCAGATGGCAGCTGTTGGTACTGATTATTTGCTGCTTGTCTAGAGTTTTCCTGACGTTCTGATTCCAATTCATAATCCTTGTTCTTTTCAAGCCCAAGAAGCACATTATTTTCAGGCTCAGGTGTGGCTGATTGACCCTCTGTGAGAATACAAAAAGATAATAAAAAATAATAATAATATTTTTTTTTTTTGATTACCATACTGAAAATCTTAAAATCATACTATATACCAACACACAATACATTATTAAAACAAACTGTATTATAATAATAATTATTATTATTATTTTAGGAATTAACAAGCAGGAATCTTGTAATATGGTTAGGTAGATAAAAAAAGATTTACAGTACAAGTATTTCTGGTCATCTTTTTTATGAATTGATCAAATTTTTACCAAGAGTACAACAAATAACCTTCTGCAGACCACTCTAGAAGAGATGAATAATCATAAACTAGAACTACATATATTTATCAAACTTACTTGAAAGATATACATCGAATATTTTTGCCAAGGTTTTGGTTCAAGTTGGAGATTAAAGTCAGCATAAAACAGAAGTCTATCAAAATAATTTCCCCTCCTTATTGCATAGACATTTTTTCTCTTTACCGATGACGATCATCAGTAAAAAGAAAAGATGTCTATGCAATAAGGAGGAGAAGTTATTTTAAACAAAGATTAAGTAAATAAATATAAAGGCACATGAAATAAAAAAAAATATGATGTACACAGATAAATCATTAATAATAAACACTACAATATTCCATAAAAATTAAGAAACATCGGTATTGATTTCATTGTGACTTTAAGAATAAAGACATACCATTTTGTTTGTCTAGTTTTGACAGCTGAGACTTTGCTGTAGCTTCCAATACTTGAGCTGAGATGCGATCATGAATCAGTTTCACCATTGTCTCTATTGTGGCTTTACTCAACAGCTCCATGAATGCAGCAAACTCCTTCTGAAATACAAAGAAATGTATTGTATCAGATTTTAGTTGTATTGTAAAGCACTTTGTGTCAACATGGAGTTGCGTTGAAAGTGCTTTATAAATAAAGAAAAGAAAGACAAAGAGATCAGTTGAAATGTAGTTATTTGCATGCACCTATTACAACTTGCTGTATGTCAAAAAGCAAGGTTTGATTAAAATAAATGACTTTTGTTATACTGTCTTACAATAATTAGTTTCTATGAACAAAATCCCTAGGGATCCCTAGAGAACTGCAATGTAATGTTGTCTTTTGTTTTAAATGCATTCTGACTAGAACAAGATGCCCAAAGGACAAACATGTTCAGAGGTATTCACCTGTTTGAGTGTAAACATCCTGCTCCAATGTCCTCAAAAGACATGAATTTCCAATCACTCAATATGAGTGAACACCGACAGACACAAAAAGCAATGTTGCATATAATGTAAATCACCAACTCTAGTATTCAGTTGAATGAATGAGACAATATGATGTTTTCTACACCATCTAGTAAATTCTCAATTTGTCATCACGTCGCCTTGCACTGGTGACAAAACTTTTTTCTATTAGTGCAGTATTGATTGTGTTTTTTGTTGTTGTTGTTGCTAGCCTAGGACCAGAAGGGAAAATCATGTAAAACATCAAAAGATTTCTTTACAACTTGTGTGATGAAGGTGATGACTATCATTATTTTTGACACATAAATTAAAAATTTTCCGAGCACATATGACTGGGCGTAGGTCATGGATATCATTTTTCAAATATATCTGGCATGTTGACAAGTAGGTAGATGTAGGTAACGTATTCAGTCAAAACACAGTAGTATGGTTTCTTTACATGTCATATATCAAAAACAATTTAGAACTGTGTCTAACGTAATCATCTCTGGTTAACTCAATGTGATGCATTCTTCTGTAATTATCAGTTTTAATTGTATTTTAAAACAAGCAGGAATTTAAGACAGGTTGCAAGTTTAAAAGGTTTATTATGCTTATAAAATAATTACATTCAATATGGACTTAATATATTCGTTAATCTGTGCACTCTTCATATGCCAGTTGCAAATACAACGTAAACAACAGCCAGGCAACATCGTGTTGTTGTAATAAAAAATGGACCATAGACTGAAAAAAAAAAGTAATGGACCATAGACTGTAAAAAAGAGGAATGGACACTTAAAGTGCTTTTCTACTCTAGAACTTACAGTTTTGGCTTGATTCGCCTGTTTAAGTCTGTTTTTGTTCACTGCAGTCCCCTTGTTGCGCTTCCACTCTTCAGATAAGACAGCCGTCAAGTCAGAGAGATGTTTGCTCAACTCCGACACGACACTTTCAACTAACACCCCCATAACGGAGGACAGTAACTCGTGAATTACTGCCGTCATGCTCAAGGATGATTTTCGCGGCACTTTACTCCCAAAAATATGCGTACTGCCTCATTACATACAATATGCAGGTTTAAAACGTATCCTTGCTAGCCCGATTAATTTGCTTGCTTGTGGTGTGTGAACAAACGGAAGGAAATACGTCTCTCAAACTAAAATCCAGAATGGAGTTTGTTTTTTTTAATAGCAGTACTGCCATCTAGAGGGTTGGAGTTATTAGTACGTTTTACCAAAGCCAGTCTACGGACTACAGTCATATTAGACTTTCCCTGGTTTTACTTAAAGTGGGGAAGTCAAATGTTTTATTCCTTCTCTGGAAAGCATAAAGTCTCTACATTTCTAAAGCGAACTGAACGTTGATATTTGCATATGTTTTTTCAACCCTAGAAAACATGTTTTTTTTCCTGAATATGTGAGATGCATGTAACAATTCTTAAGAAATTCTTATCATCATGATTGTTGTGACTTAAAAATGAAAACACAAACACGAAGTTTTCAAAAATATCTGATATTTGTGGACAAAAAAGAAGTACAAAGTACAATGAACTTGGATTGTTAAATCATTATAAACTTAGATGAGATTAAACTGACGTAAAAAAAAATAGTTGAGTCTTGTTTAAATTGAAAAAAAAGTTGAAAACTGCTTAACATATTTGTAGCTAAACCAATGTAAAAACATATGTTGTCATAATTAAAAGTATCATACAATTTTTTACAGAGAAAAGACAGTTGAGCAAAACAAAGTTGGTGTCCGTGTCGGAGTCGTTGGTGTCCGTGAAATCCACTTGTCCGACACGACGACAGTCGCGCGTTGTCGCGAGACTCGCGACGCCTCTCCACATTTGTACTATGGGCGTTCCTCAAGTTTACCGCTATGGGCGTGGTTTTGAGCCAGCGGCCAGTCTAAAACAGAGGACCTGCGAGAGACGTCCCCCGTCATATGCTCTACTTCTATTGGATAGTCGTGGCGCGTTCAACGGAATTCATTTGCATAAAGATGGGCATCGCCCAGCTTTTTGACGCGCAGCATTTTTCTAAATGAAGCATCGCCTTCCCAGAATGCTTTACAGGCACGTCAAAGTCGCGTGACGTCACCCAGTCTTCTTTCCTATTGGTTGTCGCTCGCAAAAATCGCTTCTCATTTACATAAAGTTGAAAATTCTCAACTTTTGTCGCTTGTCTCTTGCCGCTTGACATGGCCACATTCTGTCGCCAACGGTCACTGTAGCTTGTGTCTCCAGCGCTTCATTAAAATGAATGGGATCTTGTCGCTTTGTCGCTGCATGTCGCTGGTGGTGTGAAGCTGCGTTCACACTACATGCAGGTCGCCAGTGGCTGCGCTGGACGGCGTTCTCACTACTGGTTGCCTAGTAATGTTTGTGAGTGACATTCAGGGATGTTTCTCATTAGACAACAAATGCGTTTTATTGCCGCTACAAAGAAATATTTTGGAAGGAGAAGTCTAAATATAAATGGAATCAGTACTTAAAATGCATAAAGATGAACGAGAAACAGTGAGTGCTCTTTGCCATCGTGGTTATTTAACTGCAGCAAACGTGCAAATACCGGTCTATACACCGTTATAGACCGGTATTGGGTATCTGACCTATCTGTGTTCCCGAAACCATTCAGTCACGGAGTCAGTACGGCGAACACCACTGTGTGTACACGGAGATATATCATACATCATAGGACAGTTTCTGACTGCTAAATTGATCTTCTCGTTCAACTTGCCTCGGTCAGACTCAGCACTAAAGAGTGACGCGCTCCACTGACTCCTATTGGTTGTCGCTCGCGAAAACCACCCCTCATTTGCATAAAGTAAAACATTTCTCAACTTTGTCGCGTCGCTGGACACGCCCCACCGGTCGCCAACGATCGCAGCATGTCGCCGGAAGTCAAATACGATTATGATACTCTAAAAGTTTAACTTACCTGTACAAATGGTAGCTATAATGTTTTCAAAATGTTCTAATGACGCTTGTCTTGCGCAAGAGTTGGAACTATGGCAACTGACAAGGCCATTCTTTGTGTTCTTTTTGAAGAATTCTCGGAGCCTGATGAAATCGGTATAAATACGTGTTTAATTCTGTAAAATACACTCGATCTTACAGTCACTGCCCTTGCCGTCAAGAATAAAAGAGAACATCCCAATTGAGTGAAGGGATTTGTGGAAACTGTGGTTCCCAATTATTGTGATCCAACATTTGCCTCAAATTTCAGACTGAAAACGCGTATGAAGATTTTAATAACAAAAATGGAAGCAAAGTCTATGAAATAAATACATACAACTTAATATATTTACTAATTTAATAATACTTTGTGTAAATCTTGCAAATTACATAAACATGGTGGTTCCCCAGGACAAGACTAGTTTTTAGTTTATTGGATGTACACAAAACAATCTTTTTGACAAAAACATCAATTTGCAATTTAACAAAACCAAATAAATTACTGAATTGAAGTGTTAGCCTTCTGTTCCAGTAAATGTTAATCCAACAAACAAAACGTTAAAACAGTTCTACAAGATTTATAGCATCATTAAAGATCTTTTACAACTTGTTTAAGTTCGAGCTTTATATGGGTGTCCCATAGAGTCATTAGTTCTGTTGTGGGTTCTAGGGGCTAGGCTCAGTTGTAGACTCTGGCTCAGCTGCCGGGTTCTCAGGCTGAGGGCTTTGAGGAGCAGGACTCTTCACAGCCGGAGTGTATGCAATGGGAATCACTCTCTCGTTGCTCACAGCATTAGCCTGTTTGGGTGCTTGTATCTGTAGCTGGCCATTATTTAAAGAACAGGTCACCATTTCAGGACTCACACCATCAGGAAGGTCAAACTCCTGCCTAAATTCTTGGCTTCTGTATGAGTACGATCCTTTCCCATCATCTTGCTTCTTCTCTGTCTTGCCACTCACCCGCAACTTCCTGCCCACTTGTTTGACGGACAGCTCCTCTGGAGAGAAATCCTTCGTATCTAGTGTGAGCGCATAGTGGCTTCCTTCCTTTCCGAGCTGGAATGAGATGGGTCTGAAAGTGGTCATGGGTGTGACATGGTCAATCTCGTCAAAAATCCTTTGGTGCAGGCGTTCCATGAACTCCAAGTTGTGCCTCATCTCCTGCATGTGTCTCATCATTTCTTTCTCGATCTGAAAGAATAGAGGTCTTGTCTCCGGCCACAGGCTGCGCACTGGCCAGTGGAAGTCCATGAATGGGCTGAGATGAGGCTGAAATGTGCTTGGGCAAAGCATCTTTGGTTGATTTTCGTTGCTGTGTTGAGCTGGTCGACTTCGTCTGTGCTTCTGTCCCAATGAACCAGACTCAATGCTTTTATATGCTGCCTGAGAATATTCTAGTAACGCTCTGATAGCACTGCAGTATGTGTCACCCTGTCGAAGAGCTGCTATGACTGAGCACTTGCAGTCATGGTCCAAAACAAGTCGGCTGTATTTTTGTGATCCATCTGTTAAATACCAGAGAAGTGCATCGTTGTTCTATTTACAGTGAGCACTCATGGCACTCCAATGGGTCTGCATAACTTTCTATTAAGGGAAGAGGTTAATGCAAGAGGATGATATAAGGCTTTCCTTTTATATTAATATAACATTCTTTATATTAATAATTCTGGCTAATCAGGGTTACTGTAATAAATATTTCAATGTTTTCTGTTTGTGTCATACAGTAACTTACTTCATATTCTGTCAGTGGTGTTTAAATTTAACTTACGAGGATTCTAACAAGCTTTCTAATCCTGCCGGATTCTGAAACTGACACCATGCGTTGGCAGCGCCTCTTACGGCGTCACCGCCTGAAATAGTTTCAAAGGGAAGGAACAGTTGAATCTAAACAAACAAACGTATCATCACTTGGAGACTGACAGCAAACATATATATATATATATATATATATATATATGAATATACTTAGGAAAGAATTCATCTTTATAGAATAACCATGACATGTCTTGTCAAGGTTGATTGGTATTTTCTAATACTTATAGGATTTATACATATACAGATTGTACAATTTGTATTTGAACGACAATGGGCAGTTGACATAACTCTTTCTAAATGTTTTTAAAGAACTTTCTAAATCTTACACTACTACTGCTACTACTAAATAAATAAACACCCCATATTAATTGAGATGCATAGCCTATGGACTATTTACTTAAAAAAAAACTAATTTCTGTAAGTCCTATTTAACTTGCTAAAAAGGATGTTAAAATGGTGAATAATAATACACAATAGCCTGCCTAGTAAACAATAAATAAATAAATCAATAAATAGCCTAAATAAATTCCCAATGTTACTTGAGAGACTATTATATGTACTTCAAAAAACATATTCGTAACTGTTAAAATCATTATCAAATAAATTGAATAATAATAATAATTCATAATAAATAAATACTCTATATTAATCGAGAGCATGCATGTGATACAATATTTATAATTTACAAACTCAATTGTCATACTACATGAATATTTAAGTGAACTGCTAAAAAGGTTATTCACATTCTGGAGAAAAAAAAGTCACAAAGGTTCGTGGACATCACATGTACAGTGTACTGACAGTAGGGAGAATCATAAATCATCCCAGACTCAGAGCGGAGCGCACTGACTTCCTTTCCTGCGGCTGAAGAGATCCATTCAAACATGGTTCCTCCTGTACAGGTCTCTTCGCTTATCAAGGTACCGGTTCTATTCCAACCTTGCATCCCTCCAACCTTGCTTTATGTTCATTAACGTGTTTTATTCTTATTCGTTTTTATTTATCAGCGACCTTCATTCATCAGCGAATTAGCTAGCGCAAATCTGTTAGCTTAGCTTAGCATAGAATGTATAGCAACACTGTAACCGGTAAATGAACTAATCGTGTTAGCCTAGCTAGCTGCCTATCCTCAGCACTGCAAGGTCAGGCATGTTAGCTAGCTGAGTTGAAGATTACCACTGTTGCAAATATACCGGCGAATGAACGTGTCAAATATTTAAATAGAACGAATAATGGGAATTGAGTTCCTGTGATGAGGTGAATATACAAAAATATATACACCCATTCATCCCCTGCAGTCACTGAATTAGTATAAGTTACATAATGTACACTTCTTATAGAAAAACAGTATTTTTTATTTGAAATTATTTTGTTTAGAATAGTTGACTAATAATTATAGCATGTCACACCAGAGGACATTGCAGAATGTTTTTGTACCCATGATTGTTTTTATGCATTAAAACTGTATTTCCTCACATTGTATGTTCAATTGCCATAGGATTCAGTAAAGAATAGATTTATAAAATATCAGTGGCCTTTAAAGTCCTTGACAAGCTTACCAGTAAACAAACCAGCAGTCTTCTTTCTGATTTCAGACAGCAAGATGGTCAGCCTTGCTAATTGGATTCATTTATGGGAAGCAGAGATATGGTAAGTTTTTATATATGGTATGGGACGATATATAATTATAATGAACATGCACGATATTATATATCGTGGCCACTTCAAAATACCATGAATAATTTCTTATTAATTGTTTCAATTTTTCAAGTGAATTTTAAGAATACTTTTCCATCAACTGGTAAAATGTATAGATATTGAAAATGATTTGATTCTTTATTATTGTTCAATAACACTTTACAATAAGATTCTTTAAGTGTTTGTATTTTGTACTGAAACATAAATCTGCTAATGAAAAACTCATTGAACTACTTGAACTAATAATGAACAATACTTCTAAAGGATTTATTAATCTGTTAATGTTAATTTCAACATTTACTGACACATTATTATTAAAATCAAAGTCGTATTCGTGAAATTATTTATTAACAGATAAATAACATGGACTTGAGCTAAAAAAAAACGTGAACAGTAGTATTTTTATTAACTAACAAATAACTACTGTAACAAATGTAGCAATTGCTCATTGTTAGGTAATGCATTAATGTAATGAGACCTTATTGTAAGAATTATCTGTTTGAAACGTGTTTATACATTTTTTGTTTTGTTATTAAAAGTTTCAGAGTTGCTTTCTTGCTCGTTAAATAGTTTTCAATCAATCTGCTCACCAGATTATCTGAAGCCCATTGCTGCTGAAGAAAGAAGGATTGAGGAGGAAGAGAAGAAACTCAGGGAAGAGCGAGAGCGCATTTACAAACAGCTTTCTGAAGGTCTGTAACCAGCTGTAAATATTTGTGTGTGTATGTCTGTATATTAATTATTCTACAATATAACAAGAATAAAATATGACAAAATAAATGTAATAATACTTTTTTGGATCGTATTTGAACCCTTTACCTTCAGAAAACCTAAATTCTCTCTCTTTTTTTAAATTTCTACAGCAAACTCTGACACCATTCTGAAGTAAGTCTCGGTGGCGTATCCATTCCAGCACCAAATGAGATCACAATGAACCTAATTCTATTTTTCAATAAAGACAGAAGTTAACATGTTTTTGTACGGTTTCTTTTATCCTCATTTATCTCAACATTATTTAGGTAATTCTGATTTCTGCATTAGTATCAGCTAGAATATATTTTCATCTATTTAGTTGTATGCACTATGTGCATCTAACAAAACAAGATCATCCTCTGAGAATGCGTTGTAGACTCTTTTGTTTTTTCTGCATTGCCGTAGTGACATTTATAGAGGGAGGACAATTGCATAACAGGACAATGGTTTAGCATAAATCCTAGGATTTAGGTCAAGCCAATACAGTGCTGATTTTGCACAAAATGCTTCACAGCTACTTATCTGTGGTGCTACGCTTCATTAACTATTCAAATACGCAAGATATATTTAATTAGATGTCTCAAAACTCTGCTTTCAACATTTATTGTGTTGATCTGAAATCCAGAAATGCTATGAGTTTAAAGGCCTGTTCACACCAAGAAAGAATTAACTATAACGATAGCTATTAGCATCCACACCAGAGGACGATAACGTTCTGCGTGTTATAAGTTCACTCTGAGTTTCTTTAAAATGCTCAAGCTCTTTTTTATCATTCATCAGCTAGGAAAAAAATTCAACAATATCATTTTTCACTGCCGTTATAATAGTCATGGTGTGGAATCTGCTATCCTTTTTATATTTAGAACGATTTTTAGAATCATTTATCATTATAGTTTTCTCTCTTGGTGTGAACGGGTCTTAAAAGAGACAAAAACATGAAAAGTCATGTAAGAATATTGTCAGAGGATTTATTGAGAAATGGAATATGTACTGTAGGGATGTGTAGCTGTTCAGGTAACCTTTGCAGATGACATCTAGGAAACTGCTGATAGTTCTCAGGATAAGAGGCTTTCTTATCGAGTGAGTCATTGAGCAGATGTGTGAAGAGAATCAAATCCTTTGTAGTACGAAAGGGTTTCAGATTACTATTCTTGCTTTCATACAATATCATTCACAAGTTTGTTTTTGAAAGACATCTCACCAAGTCAGTATTTATTTGATCAAAAAGAGAGTAAATACTGCAATACTATTAGTTTAAAATAGTTGTTTTTTAAATGTATTTCCTGTGCTGAATTCTAAAGCTGAATTTTCAGCATTACCCCAGTCTTCAGTGTCACATGAGCTTTCGGAAATCTTTCTAATATGCTGATTTGGTGCTCAAGAAACAACAATTAAAAACACTGGAAACCATAAAGCATTTTTTTATGATTATTTGATCAATAGAAAGTTCAAAAGGAAGAGCATTTCTTTGAAATGGTCATCTAAGTACTATGTAAAAAAAAAGAAAAAAAAGAAACAAGTTCATAAAAATATATGCTTTAATTGTCATGGTATTGAGCAAATAAAGTGAAGCTTAACATTTTTACCAATTTAATTGAAATCACCCATATTTGATGATGAATCAAAATAATCGAATTCATGTCAAAAAACATGATAAAACTTGTTCTGCAAGTAAATCACATTTGTGTCAAACAAGTCTTATAACCAGGCCCCAACTGTTAGATCGATTAAAACATCAATTTTCTTCTCTACTGCCTGAAACTTTGCTACTTAAACGAAACCTTTATTATATGTGAATCAGAAGCAGCAGCTTTGCATAATAAGCACATACAATTCCTTAAGTGCGCTAAAACACACCTTCATAGTATTTATTTTAAAACTATGTAAAGTCATACCTCATAAAATGTATAAATAACTTATATGTATATTGACACAATTAGATTCACAACTGATGTTTTCAAGATGTTTTATAGACAACCAGTGAAAGAGAAACTTGATTCCTATAAAAGTCAGACATAAGAGGAAAAACATTATGCCTGAATCTGGAAACCTTTGTGAATTTAATCACAGACTTGTCAAGGTACAGTGTGATGACATGTCAGCTGAGAACTCAACAGATGAATGGTATCAAGGCCACTGGAATTAGTTTTCTCTGTGAACACATGTCCCAACAGGGGAGAAACGGAGTAACCGGACATTGCTCAGTAAAACACACCCATGACAGCACTTGACGTAAATAACTCTGAAGAACAATTGCGTATTTCCTGTCAGAAATAAAAATAAATCTATAAAAAACAGCTATAACTTAACTATAACTGACCACCACTGTATTCATATATTGCTTACCAGAAGCTATATTTTATGGCAAACTAAAGTCTGTCACCTACATTTAGCCACCTGAAAGTTAGCTTCCAAACTGTACGATGTGGTCTCTTTTAGAGGGAATGAATGACATTAAAACTGCATATCACTCATATAATGGCCTTTACGTTCAGGGAAAGTAGCAGGTGACACTAAATGGAACATTGATACAATTTTAATATGGAGAAAAAACTGTATAGTACAGTAACTTGCTGTACATAATAATTTGATTCCTCGATTTTAATTACACATGCGCTAACTTGTGGACCAGCTTGATATTAAATAGCAACTGATCACCAGTAAGGAACTGAAAGTAATTTATAGATTATGCTAATATGTTTGATTGGGGGATAAATCAGATCCATATTTGCAATGTTCACCTCCTGTAGTTTCCCGTAGTGCATTTAAAGGGATACTTAAATTTTTTTTTGGAAATGGGTCCATTTTACCACTCCCCCAGAGTTAAACAGTTGGTTTTTACCGTTTTCAAATGTATTCAGACGATTTTTTGATATTTAGAAGAATATCAGTAACCAGACCAGAAGTCAATGAGACCAGAAACTGTATGGTTACTGATATTCTTCTAAATATCAGAAAATCGGCTGAGGAGTGGTAAAATGAGCCTATTTCCAAAAAAAAATTGGAGTATCCCTTTAAGACTGCATTGTGATTAATTCAAATTGATTACCATCCAATGAAAATGCTTAAACCAAATACTATGACCCAAAGGAAACACAATGGAACAGTAATACTAACTGTAGGCAAGATCCAACGTGTGTTTTGGTTTGCAGGTGGTCTTGTGGCTTGCTGATAGCATATAATGCATTGATAGTGTTTTCTCACTCACTCTTGGTTAGATCCTTGGGGATCCTGGGGTTCTGGTTGCATCCCCCCATTTGACGTAAAAGAGGCCGGGTTGCATCTTGAACTGCCCTGCCCTCGGTATGGTTATCTTTCCTCTAGCAGATGGAGCAGGTCTTGGACCCTGATCCACTGGTGCTGCTGGAATTTGGAGCTGTAGAGACACAAATTATAGAAATGTGTTAGAATCATCATACATTATATGGCTGACAGGATGTGGACACTTTCTTGTAATTAACAGGATTGGCTATTCTAGTTCAGATCTGGGTTTTGTAACGACCAATCAGATTCTTTTGAGATGAATAAAGTTCTTGATGTTTCATCATCTTCTTCAGGTCAAATTTTTGCTGTCTGGTTTCTTTAAAGCTCCAATATATAGATGCTTTACTAGAGGACTAGAAAATGAATAATAACACAAGAAAATTATTCATTTTTGTGGAAGTCAAAGATATATTGTTTAATGTCATCGGGCTATAAAACCTTTAATATAGTACCAAAGTGATGACCATTTTCCTTTTAATCTGCATACATTTTTTTAATGAAATGTTTAACAAGCGCATATAGTTATTTAGCATTGTCGGTGTACACTACTGTTCAAAAGTTTGGTGTCAGTTCTGTAGGTTTTGTTTTATTTTTGATTTCATTCTGCAAGGATGCATTAAATTTAAAAAAGTGACTGTAAAGACATGTAATTAATAGTAATTAATTAATAATTGCATCACAATTTAGCATCACAAGAATAAATTTCCTTTTTTAATGCATTCAAATAGAAAACAGTTTTACTGTATGTTTGGTCAAATAAATGCAGTCTTAGTGATTACAAGACTTCTTTCAAAAACATTTAAAAAAAATTAAAAACCCCAAACTTTTGAGCAATAGTGAACATTGGTATGTCAAATGTCAACCTGAAGGTTTAATCAAATTTAGTACAAATACAATAAACAAAACTGAAAGTAAAAGTTTAATGTCCCTGTAAAGGCAATTCTACAAAAAAATTCTCAACACATTATAACTGTTTCAAATGTATTGCTAAAACATATTACAAAGACTGTGTACTGTGAAGTACTGAAATGTGGAGTTAAACGGTTAAACAGTTTTTCACCAATTTGGTTGGGTGGCTAATAACACATTTTTCTGTGGTGTGACAAACTCAGAACACATACTTAATTTTGACTTTACAGGGACTTTAAGCAAAAGACTATCTAAAATTCAAACCGTTGTTGGTAGCTGTTCCCTGTTTGGCTTTAGCTGCCTCCTCCAGCTCCTTTAGTTTCGCCTCATATTCCTCCTGCCTCGCTTTCCAATTCATCCGGTTGTTCAGAATGCCATCGTACATTGGCTGGATGTCCTTGTGGAAACGAGAGAATTCCTGTGGAATAATAAGAGAACAGAGTTGCTAATTAATCGAACAGACCAAAACTTTTTTGTTTCGTTTTTTCCGCATTAATTTCATGTAACAGAAATCGATCAGTCTCCTTAATTCATAAAGGTACCTTGTAGACAAAAGTACAGACAAAGTCGATAAAACCACACTGAAGCTTTGGCAGCTCTGCAGCTTTGTTTCTGTCCATCATGGGCTAGATTAGGTGAAAAGACAGACACCACATAAGATTTTCTGATTATTCTTTTTTACCTCTAGTAGAATTACCGCCAATATTAGATTGGCAAGTTTTGTGTGAAAACAAACAGGTACTCACGATGGGCTGTTGCTCAAGAACAGTCCTCTCAAGATCACCCTGCTCCCAGAATTCAGCTGCTACAGAGAGGGCAACCTAGGATGGGACAAATCATGCTTTGTATATTCCAGAGAAGCAAAAGAGAAGTTGTTTTTCAGTTGACATTTCCTACCTTGCTCTGCACCTCCCATGGCTTCGTGATAGCTGAAAGGTCACACGCTGTCATCATCATCGCCCTGGTCGATTAATACAAATATGAAAAAATTAAAAGCACAATGATTCTTTTAAAAATATTTATTTTGCCAAAATGCCTAAAGTAGCTA